GCGGGCGCCGGCGGGGCCCGGGCCGGCCGAAGGGGGCGCCCCCCGGGGGGCTTGCCCCCCCCCCCCCCCGCCGCCCTCTCCCCGGGCTGCCCCCGCTTCCCCTTCCCCTCCCTTCCTGAGTCCTACCATGGTCAGCCCCTTGCCCTTACTCGGGGGGCGCCTGGAGGGGCCCTGCTCCACCCCGCTGGGCTGCAGGGTGGCCCGAAGGGGCTGGGGTGGCACCCACCGGTGGCGGGCCAAACACGCTGGGCTGGAGGCGCCCTTAGGGAGACACACCCTTTCCATCCCTGCCCAGGTCCCCCCAGCAGCTGCCCAAAGGGTCACTTGCGGCTCCTTGGACAGGCCTGGGGCTGGCTATTGCTGCCCACCTTGATTTGTTACTGTGGGGTTGCTGATGGACGGGGGGCACCGAGAGCCCTCAGACACACTTTTTAGAAAAAGACCTCAAAAGAGTTTGCAAGTGGGAGAGAGGACATGCAAGACCCCCCGCACCCACCCCCATCAGATCCATGGCCTGATGGCTCAGATCCACCTCTGGGCATGGCAAAACACAGACTGGGTTTTTTCTCCCTGTCGAAAACAACCTCCTTGTGTTGAACTTTTTTTTTGTGCGTCCCATGTCACCGTCCAACTTGATTATGCTTCTAAGCAGGGCCAGACACAGACACGAGCATACCAGGCAGCTGCCCAGGGCCCAGACAGAAAGGGGGCCCCAAAATGGTGAAAATAATTATTGTTATTATCATTGTCTCCAGCAAAGGGGGGGCCAATACTAAAAGTTTGGCCAGGGCCACCCAGAGTCTAGGTACGGTGCTGCTTCTGTCTAGCAAAGGGCTCTTTCCTCTGAGGAGCGAAGCACTGAACTGCCATCCTCGGACAAAGAAAAGAGAAGGAAGAAAGTAAAAAACAAGGGTCCTGGGACTTGCACCTGACAGAGAGAAACCTCTGTAAACTCGCTGTGCTTCCTGCCAACCAGCCATCTTAAATCCAAATAGCATGAAGCTGAAAATGAGTGGATTCAGGCCTCAGCACAAGCTGTAGGATCTGTCCTTCATTCTTAAAACTTATCATCTTCCTTTTTTTTTTTTTTGAACAAGGGGAGGGGGGCAGAGATTTGTGTTTTCTTCCCCAGATGTGCCCACAATCAATAATAATGCCTGAAAAAAATAACAGTACAGTATCTAAATGAAGTTACAGTTATCTGACCACAGTTAACCAAAGGCAGAGCCCCTGCCAGCTGAAGACTGTGGGCCCATTCTCTTCGGGGCAGATAAAGCGCACAATGAGGTTTTGTCCATCTCCACAAACCAATTCAGAAGGGCAGATTCTCTTATATATATAAATATATTTTTCTCTCTCACACAGCTGTGCAGTGACCAATTCTTCTCTGGGGAGGGGAGGGGGCTGCGGTTTGGGGATAGTAATAGGTCTATTCTTTCAGAGTTGGAAAGCAAGAGCTCAACAGCCTTTTTTTCTTCTCTCTCTCTCTTTCCACTAAAACAATTGTTATTCCCCGTTATTCCCCCAGTGCTGTTCCCACACACGCACACATACACCCTAACCCCCACCCCCTATCTACAGATACAAACTGCATGTGCTTGCGGAAGAAACAAAACATTTCTTTCTAGAGCCTTATTTTAGTCAAGGGCCTAATTCAAAACACAGACCCAAATATGTCCCTAGAGCTTGATCATAACATAATGGCGGGTTCCCTGTTCCTGAGATGAGTCTTGAACTGCAGTCCTGAAACTAATGAATAGCCAAGACTGATAAATTAATAATCAGCACTAATGAATGTATATATTTCCCTCTACTGCTGGCTGTAAAATTGAGATTTGAGGCTGTTTGGCAATTTAAGGCTAGACCTGGCCAGCCTTACTCACACCAACAGGACCTTATACCACAAAAGCACAGGGGGGCAAATCTGGTCCTTGCAAAATAGTTGCTTCACTTCTCTGCTGTTTTATTATCATTCATCATTCTCCTCCCCACAGGAGCTTGTTTTATGTGCTTTTGGTTTCAATGAAGCCCCTTTCCCATACTAAGAGACTAGGGTCTGTCATGAGCTTTACCTCTCCATCTGCCTGTGCTAACAGTGCCACCTGCCTTCTGCCCTGCAAGAACACCCTTCTCCAAGGCTGGCAGGGGAACTTGGTCTCCTCCTTCAATCAGATCCTACTCTCTGCAGCCCTTGGACCAGAAGGAAATTGATTAGGAGATGTTTCAAGGCATGAAAGGAGCTGGTGAACAGGAGTCAAACACCTAACTCCCATTGAATGTTTAAACATCTTCCCTTCTCTGTCTATATTCTTCCAGTCTTGGCTTTGCTCCCTCATCTAACGGTCAAGCTGAAGGGCCAGGCCCTTGGTCAGAACCTCAGCCAGTCACTGATGTTCCACTGAAGTTAAAAGAGCAATCTTGATGGCCTTTGGTCTTAAAAGGAGCCCTTCCCTGACTCTCCCTACCCCCTACAACTCCAGATGTGAGAGCAGCACTTGAAATAGGATTTTCCAAGGGCTCAGCATTGGCCTAACTCAGCTCCCCTCAAAGTTAATTGCCCGCATTTCACTCCTGCTTATGTCAGTAGCCTGATTTCCCCTTGACTCCAACAGAAGCAAAGTCAGGCAATACTGGCAACTTCAGAAAATCCTTCCCTTATTCTCCATGGTACTTCACTATGCACTGCTCTCTACCTGTGAGCCTCTCTTCTCTCCCATATGGTCCTCATGATACAGAGTGACAGACAATTCACTTGTGATGTGCACTAAATCCTTAGTGGAATCCTCTATGTATTTATTGCTCCACCTCCTGACATTAACGCTGCCTGAAAAGGACCCCATCACTGGAGGTAAGAGGATAACTCATCTCCCCTGGTCCCTGAACACTGGAGATCAAGGTCCTAACCCTTGAGGTGTAGCATCAGGAGGCTGGCAGGTAGGAGATAGAAGTGAGTATCAGAGAGAAAATATTTTAGATGATCAGATGAGCAAGGCACAATTTTAGTGTGCCCAGCATCAGCTGTAATTCCAGAAGCTCTTCAGGCTCCATTGACTAACTTGGGATAAACTAGGAGGCAAAAAATAACTTGCAGAAGTGACAGAGGGAGGATCTGTCATCTTGGCTTTGGTTACTGAAGCACAGCAAAACTACCTTGAGAGGCAAGGGTTATTCTGGGTCACTTCATTAGTGACTGTCAAGCAGTCAAAAGAATCTGTAAACAGGACCTCCTAGAAGAAGAGCTAGTTCTAGTCTGTTGTAGCATCCATCAGGAAGAGGTTTAATATTGTGTGCTAAGATACTAGGGCAATCTTAGAGCTGACTTGCCTTTTGGTAAATCTAGTTTGTTTTTTTGCACTCTTGTTTGGAAAATCTGTGTAATTCTTTGGCTGGGACCCCCCACCTCTGAAGTGCAAATTCCTCGGTGTTGTTTGTTTTCATGGAAAATTCAACAGCCCCAGTCCCAAACCTTCTGAAAACTCCAGTCCCCTGGGGTGTCTTAGTTAGCTCCCATATGCACCTAACCAATAACCGAGCAACCCAACAACACCACACTAGGTCATACCACACAACAGCTGAGATACTCTGCTGAAGAAAAGCAGAGGATGGAGAGGAGATTAAGAACACTCAACAGTCCTCTGAGAGTGCCTAGTTAACTACTAAAACTGTAACAGAGAGTAACAATTACGCACCAACAGTGTCCTCCTCATACACAGAAGGGCTTGAGGAAGAGCACTCTGTGCCCAAAAGCTTGTCTAATATTTCACCCAACTATACAGCCGGTCCAATAAAAGATGACACCAAAAAATCTTGCTTCTCACATATTTCCTGGACCATCACAGCTGCAACAGCCCTCCAACCTTTCAGATACAGTAACTTCAAAGCATAAATACACACAACACATACCCTTGAGGAGCAGGACAAACAACATGCAGGTTACTACTATCTGATCTACACAGTTATTGTAGCAGCCTGCTAGTGAATGTTCAGTCTTGTCTCCTACCTATCAACCTCCTGGTTCTACACATCCAATCTATGCCCCTACTTCCACAGCATTCAGAAAACAGGAAATGTGGCTTAGAAGGAATTTCTGAAATAACTTGCTGCTTTGGGGCAATAGCGAGCATCTAGCCAGGCATGTCTGCCAAGTTTTATCTCCATTGTCTCTGGGCACCTGGATTCAAAATGACCCTGTCTACCTATGTATTCAGATGTGCCTCATTACTGTGGTACCCAGGTACTTCAAAATCACTAATGACTTTCATCCCTAGGATAGAAAACCCTTCTGACTGAAGGATTGTCATCCCCACCTCCCACCCCCTTTCCAACTGAGGGAGATTAAGTGACTTGCCCTAGAAAGGCAAGAAATTAGTGGAATGAAAGCCAGTTCTCTGGGTCCCGTATCCTCCCCCATTCCTGAAACAAACAAGATGTCCCTTCCCCCCCTTTTCCCCCCCACCTTTATCTTTATTATTTGTTGTGGTGCAATAGTGCCCAGAGACCACATTCATGATCTCTGTCCCGAAATCTGTTGCTTCTTCCCTTTCCAGACCTAAGGGAAAGAGATGGGCTTGGCAGGCTGTCTTGAAGCTGGCGAAGTGAGTGTTCCATCATGGCCCCTGTGAAAATGAGTGAAAATGTCCAGTCCTTTACAGATGCAAACTCTGAATTTGTCCCCATGCAGGGGCAGATTTCCATTCTACAGTTACGTGGTGTCAGATTGACTGACCGCAGTGACATGAAAGACAAACTTTTTAAAATCCTGATAAGCGGATCCAATATCCCTTGATGGGCATTTGTCTTTGCTTTTTCCAAAGCCTTTTTCATGGCATGCTGTTTGTTCTCTTTCTCTCCTCTTTTCCTGCTGTTTCCCTCCA